TCAAACCAGCAGCATGCAGCGGCAGAAGTACGCACCATCAGCATGCCAATGGTCTGCTCAGCCAGCCAGCTCGCAGTCGGTGTGGCCAAACGAGATTCGCCACCGCAGGAGCATTGCTGTGGAACAGTTTGCCTAGAGAGGTGCGCACCGTATCCAGATTGCAAGATTTTAAGCTAGCCTGCCTTCCTTATGTATGCCTGAAATAGGTTGTGTTTCGTCAGGTTTTGACATGTTCCTTTCTTCTCAGTATTCTCGCTCGCATAGTACTCCACTTCTATGATAATATTGCCTATGCTGTTGCTCATTAGGATTTTGGCAAGTTCTATCCTTCGCTTTCATATAACTGGGCCAGGAACCCGTTTGAAGTTGCGAAGTAAAATAAAATCAATCAAATCAAATCAATCACCAAGGGGACATGACAAGGCATGGTCAATACCATTGTCCCGTCCACAAGAGCAATGAGTTGGTAACCTCGGCGGCATCCAACCATAACGGAGGCCCAAGCCGTCCATGAACTCAGCTTTGCTCAGTGAAAAGCCATACTTTTTCAATGGACGGCAAGTCAGCCAACTCGAGGCACCAGGTTCACGGGCGAGGACAATGGTGTGTCGCAAGGCGTCCGACGCATCATTGCTGATACGCCGTGCCGACTCCGCCTGGCTATGACGCACTTCCTTCTTCCTCTTCGCCTTCTCCCGCTGGATGCCAATCAGAGAATTCCCAATATCAGAAACACGATCCACGATACGCCGGGAGAGAGATGCTGTGATGGCGACAGACGACTCATACTGGGCGCACAAAGTCATCGGGCTGACCAGGCCCAGGCCACCCAAACGACAGGGCATTGCTAGTACTTCCCTCAACACTGTGCCAGGCGGTGACCATGCAGTTCATCGGCGCAGTCCTGTGGAACCAGCTCCCGCCTGATCTCCGTTCCGAGCCCAGCCACCTTCAGTTCTGTGCCCTGCTAAAAGCGCATCATGGCTCCGTTTAAATGTGTTTCGGCTAGTGTGTTTCTGTGGTATCGGATTGAAGAATAGTAAACGTGTTTTGCAATATACATGTACTAGCAGCACCCCCGCCAGCGTTGCCTGGCCGAATGTGCATGCGGGTGAAGCAAGTACATGAACAGCACACGTGCTCAGCACGTGGTGGTGGCCAGACCGCTGAAGTCCTGGTGAGGGAGGTTCTTCATCGTTGGAAGGAGAAGGAGGGACGTCTGTTACGCCTTCGGGAGGCTGGTCAGGGTTGTCCATCACCTGGTGGCGGATGAAGCGGCTCAAAAAATTCAAAAACTTACGAACAAAAGTGCGATGCGCTCTTCACTGCAGATCAGATGCAGAGTGCAGTCAGTGCAGATCTTTTGTATCCTTTTGTTGGAGATGTTTCTATTTGCAGAGAACGGTTCACGTGGTCCGCAGCGCTTGTGCGGCTGCTAGTGCTACCTATGGCCTAGGCTAGGTGGCTACATGATTCCCACGCTTCGCGTGCTCAGTGCTTCTGCGCGCGGCTGCTACTGCTACTCGTACTGATCGTGTCTGCTATAGTATAAGTATAAGCGCTACCACCGTAGAAATAAAAAATCCGAAGGAAATACGACAATTTTACTGCGTCTGTAGCTTGTGTTGTAGCGCACCTATGTTCTGAATTCCTGCTGGGTGGGTCAAGCCAGACTCTCTTCCCTGTTCCATCGCCTCTCCAAAAGTATATTCTGACATTGTTGAGATTTACAGATGAGAAATTGCACACCTGTCAAATCGTTTCTGATTCGAGCACGTGCACCCGGGTCTACGTACCTACACTGTTAACATAATAATATTATGTTGGCACGCTTCGCGTGCTCAGCACGTGGCGGTGGCTACACGATTCGAACGCTTCGCGTGCTCGGTGCTGTGGCTGCTTCCGCTAGCTACACGATTCGCACGCTTCGCGTGCTCAGTGCTTCTGCGGCCGCTAGCTACACTGTGCTACACTGTTCGCACGCTTCGCGTGCTCAGGGCAGCGCTGCTCCGCAGCGCTTCAGCGTGACACAAAAACACACGTCACAGGTGCCTCTTCTTTATAAGGAGCGTGACACACACACAGACACACGTCACAGGTGCCTCTCTTTTATAAGTAAAGATGTATGAAGCTATTTTGTATACCGTAAAATCCCAAGCCCCGGGCGTATACTTTGCAGAGCGTCAAAAACCGGGCGTATATTTGGGCATGGGCGTATTTTAGGGCATGGGCGTTATTTCGGACGCAATCTGCAGAAGATCAATCTATCAGCAACCGACTAGTTTCAGTGAACCACCATTCACACTGAGCGCGGTACAGGTACATCAAACCACAGCTGGAAATTTGGTCGTAACCAAGAATGTAGCGATAAATTACAGATTTGATAGGCAAACCACTTGCTATGGTAAGTACAAGGCACAACAGGTACCCGCATGGCTGAAAACGTCGTGACGCTGAAGCAGGTAAGGCAGAAAACTAGATGACATTTTGAGTCCACTTTACGTTCCCATTCCGTTCAGTTTTGCTTTGGTGTAGCCCTGAGGTTGATTTGCTTATTTATTACTACAACCTTCCACAACCTTCCGCGGTTGGCAGAGCCCCGGTCCCTGCGGACCATTTGAACCATATGGGTATCGCACCCGGTTCTGACTAGGCACCGGTGGATTATACCGGCATAATTATTGGCATAATTTGGAGGTTGAACATTTGGAGCATAATGAGGCATCCTTTCGGAGGTAGGAGCATAACTACATGGTTGTACCACCAGTATGTAAGCTACACAATTGTGTACAATGCAACTGATCAGTGCTGGGGGTCCGCATGGTAAAGGGTTCGGAGCAGGGAGTAGTACAATACCGGTATTGTACTACGTATCTAATATTGACTGGATACTTGGTCGATAGGAAATAAAAGCCGAGTAAAAGACCGAGGCGAAGCCGAGGTCTTTTACGAGGTTTTTATTACCTGACCAAGTACGAAGTCAATATTAGATTTATCACGACAAACAGTCCGTATTTCAAATTCCAGAACGATAACCTCATGAATCCCGGTTTTATGATTGCACAACCGTTGCACCACCACCTACTCATGCAGTGAAAATGCTGCACTAGGCACCGTTCAACTGCGCAACCTCTAAGCAGTCAAATAAAAGCAGTCAATATAGCCCTAAGGAGTGAAATATGCAGGAATATTTGACTTCTTAGGTATGGCAAAAAGCTATGCGAGTCAATACTAAGGGAGTGATAATCCCTGGTATTGTACGACTCGTACTACTCCCTGGTTCGGAGTAGCCCTTTTCCAAAGAGGCTGGCCACTTTTTTCGCAACTTTCCGTTGTTTTGCAAGAAATCGCAACTTTCTTCATTTTCACAAACTACTTCGCAACCTTTCCGAAAAGGTGTGCAGAGAAGCGCGCTGGATCGAGACCATCGACTGTGCAAGCTATGGTTATTGTTCTAATAATTAAAAAAATGAGGTATAGGTGATGTTCGGTCATGGTGGAAGGAGAGGTGGAGTTACGAGAGAGATGAGCTGATTTCTCGCAGGGTGAGGGTGACATCGGTTGGACGAGTATGACGATTACGAAGACAGTTGACCATGATAATTTTCAAAGGTAACTCAAACTAATTTAGCAATGAAAAAATCTTTTTACAAAAGAAATCAACTAATGAATAGAAGGAGTCATGTTTTCTCTTTCCATGTTGATCTCTAGCATGCATGGTCATCTTGCTATGGGGATATTCATGTATTTTGTTGTACTAATGGCCACTTGCAAGTACGAAAAGGCACAACATTTCCGAACGTTGAGGCTCCATAAGTACAACAAAGTGAGTATGTATCCCTGCGTGCCAAAGCATAATATGAGGATTTCGCGAGCATAATGCGAGAATCCATGAAAGCATAATTCCATGATTTCGCGAGCATAATCCGCCGGAGCCTAGTTCTGACCCTCGTTATGCCATGGGCAGAAGTTGGAAAGAAAAAGAAAAAGAAGTTTTTTAGACAAGTTAAAAAGAGCGAAGACAATAAGACGACATCAGGAGTAGTCTCCTAACCCCCTCGCATAACGAGGGTCAGAACCGGCTGCGATACCCATTATGGTTCAAATGGTCCGCAGGGACCGGGGCTCTGCCAACCGCGGAAGGTTGTAGTAAGGTCACTGTTTTCAAACACAGTGTCCTCCTCCTTGTTTCATGCTGTCAATCTAACAATTGCGTGAACTACAACAAGGTTTATCTAATACTGGTTTACCAGTTTTGGATTACATCATAATGATCTTAATATCTGTGGTGCCTCCTTTGCACCATGGCTGGTAGCTCGGCCTATTTAGCTCGTGCTGTACTGATGAGGCCTTTATGGCCGAAAGAGCTTGCTGTCTACAGCATTGGGTAATGTATATGTACATGTATTTTTTTTTTTTTTTTTTACTATGTTCACACACCCAGCTCGAAAATAATAAAGAAAGACAATGATACTGAGACTAGGACGAACGTATGTACATGGCTGTAACGACAGTATGGAAGGGGGGAGGGGGCTGCACTGGCAGAGCACAGCCCTACCGCCTACCAGTAGCTATTGCGGTGACATGCCATACCAGTCTTTGCTGCCAAGTGTCAGAGAATGACAGGATGTCACAGGGATGATGACAGTGTGGTCTTGGCTGAACGCGCACGGGGAGTCAAGCTACCGCAGTATGACAGTATGAGTATGACGGCTGTGACAGTGTGCGTGTAAACGCTGTGTTCATCTCGTGTGTCATGCATGGTGGACATTTTCCGGGTGCTCTCAGTCTCAAGCCGGCCGACAAACAAAATCCAAGGAGCGAGACGAAGCACCTCACGTGTCTGTGTGTGTCACTCTGCCCCTCCCCACACCGGGCCACAGTCCCCACGAATCCCCAGGCCAGAGCCGGAACCTTGTATTGTTGAGCCGCCACGTCAGCACAGACATTCAGTGATTCGCCAATAGCCATCAGCCGTGTCCAAGCCCTCACTCAGGCCAGGGCGTACCAGTTTTCTCTCTCTCTCGCTGTTACATGTACCAGGTTACAGTGATCATGATTGCTAGTATATACGTGTAGCATTCGTAACTGTCCATCCAGTTTATAATATCAATGATGGCGGACAGTAGAGATTCGATGGCTGCTCACCAAAGGCAAGGAAGTAAGTACTAACTGTTTGTACGTGTTAGCGATCGATGGTTGTTGATTACGATGGGACCAGGGAGTCTAGCATGTACATGTACCAGTACTAGATACACATGTTTTTTTTGTAGTACGAAAGTAATGATGATGTGCTAGCAATGTGATGCGGGACGGGTTAGCGTTGATGAGAACACAGTGAGAAGATGTACGTGTACTCGTACATGTACTTGTAAGTAACAGTTGTAGCCGAGCATGATGCGGTACGCGATAAGAAGATGGTTGGGAGTACGTCATATACGTGTCATGTAGATCTACGAGTGCTTGGATAGCGTCGCAACTATTACTTACATTGTACAAAGTCATGTACATGTATATGTACAGCACCGTCTTTAAACCATGCAGCATAATTATTTGCAGCAACTAAAATGTCCTTTTCATGCACATTGCAGTAGTAAACCCTGATTTTCTAATCCAGCAGAGTTTCCGTAGCACAAATGCCGCCGGGTTATAAAGGGACCACTGTACATGAACAGTACATGTGACCATGGTGACTGGATAACTACAATGGACATGTACATGTACATGTACATGCATGTCCCTCCCCACGTGCCGAACTGGCTAACCCCGGGTTATGTACTGTTGAAAGTACATGTATAGTCCGTGAGCCAAAACTCAAAATCACAAGTGCCGTTGCACTCTCGGAGGGACAAGTCGCCGCTTACAGTGTTGGTCAAGGACATCACAAAGGATACGTTTTCGCTTGTTGGACGTTCCAGAACCGATCCAGAGACCTTCGGGAGGGCTTCTTTTCTCGACCAAATTCCACCGTGAGAACAAATATTTTTACGCGAGTGGTGAGGTGTGCATCGGACAAGTAAGCACAAAAGTACGATTTCGGGTGGAGTGAGGAAAAATAATTTATTTTTTAGAAGATAACGACGTTGACGACAATAATGGATTTGGGATTTTGTGATCACTTTATTGAAGTTTATTCCTTTCGTGTACATTGATGTTGTTTGACAACAATGGAAGAGGAGGAAGACGTTTCTAGTGGCAGCGAGGTGCCAGATGGGGCAGCTGACGGCAACGAAGTGGCAAATGACAGCCCAGCGGAGTAATATTGCTGGAATTTGTGTCTGTGTGACAGCACCCAATTTAGTAGAAACGAGAAGCCTGCAGCGAGTAATATCGAGACTACAAGTTGGCGTCGCATCGTCAGCGCTGTTCGAGAGAAGGACGACCATGTCTGGGATTTTCTCTGCCAGCACAAGGGCTCAGGGAAGAGCAAATGGTGTGGCTGGTATCATGGAAAGTGCTACACCAATTGCACGCATGTGATCCTGAGCATTTGCAACACTGGAGAAGACCAGTGCCTCTGATTTTGCTTTAGCTATACTTACTGACAGTGATGTGCATGTAGTAGTGAACCCAGAGCCACATCCTAAGGCCAACAAGGGGCTACCTACCAGGAGCTTAGTGGCTGATACGAACAACGAATGCCATGAAAGCCGAGCACGGTGTCAACACAACACCGAGAACTGGTCCACCCAGAGTTTACGGAAGGGAATGTTTTGTTGCAGGCAGCACTGGAGAGGGCAAGACGACAAGTAGCGAGGGCGAAACCAGCGCTGCTGGAGGTCCAAGCCAGAGCACCTGGCTGCTTGACGAGGAACATACTATACCATTGTCTGTGTATGTGTGCCAGTGTGTGCATGCGTGTGTGCGTGCACGTTTCTGTATGTGCGCGTGCGTGTTTGTGTGTGCGCGCGCGTGCATGTGTGTGTGCTCGTGCGTACATGTGTGTGTGTGCGCGCGCGCGTGCATGTGTGTGTGTGTGCGCGCGCACGGGTGCATGTGTGTGCGTGCTAGGCGCTTTCCTTTGTTGGTGACACCACCCCAGGCTACAACTGCGGGCCGGATGGTGGGTGTCGGGGCACGGTGTTGCCACAATCACTGTGGTCAGTGTGATCCGTGTTTCAGGTCAGTGGTGGGTTTTAGCTCACTGCAGCCAAAGCGATCATGTTGCAAGTCAACCCGAGGGTTCCAGCTGCACAACTGCAACAAATGGATTCAAGAAAAGTCTAGATCTCGCTAGGACGTTGATGCGAGCAGCGCCTCAGCCAAACTCTCCATGTCTGTCGGCCCCTCACACGAGGGGACATCTAACCGGAAACGGCAATGTTCAGGACAAGACAGGAAGTGTGTTCCGGCCACGGGACATGCTGTTGTTGCTGGTTTCGCAGCAGAGGAGCTTTGGCCGACCACACGTGCATCCCTAGATTGCCTTCACTCCCATCCGCTACTGGACTCTGCCTCGGTGATCAGGCAGGCACCAGGGACATCTGCTTTTCCTTCGTTCGGTCGCTGTCCGTCTTGTAAAGAGAGATCAATTTACAACTGACGGCAGCAGGACCACAACAGACAACGGGCATCGGTCATTTTGCACTCGCTGAGGTGGGTCCTCCTCCTGATCCGGCGTCCTCCTGGAGTCTGTTCTTCTCCCATTGCCATTGGGGTTGCGTGCCCGGGAGACCGCATAGTCGGATTCGGCAGCTGGTCCATGTGTGTGTGTGTGTGTGTGCGCGTGCACGCGTGCCTGGGAGACTGCATAATCGGATTCGGCAGCTGGTTCATGTGTATGTGCGCACGCGCGCGTGTGTGGATGTGCACGCATGCCTGAGAGACTATATAGTTGGATTCGGCAGCTGGTTCGTGTGTGTGCCCGTGCGTGCGTGTCTGGGAGACTGCATAGTCGGATTCGGCAGCTGCTTCATGTGTGTGTGTGTGTGCGCGCACATGCGCACGCGTGTGGGTGTGGGTGCGCGCGTATGCGTGTATGTATGTATGTGGCATCATCTTATATCGGTAGTTATCTGTGTATTACTGTGTACTGCGGTGGACTGCGATAGCACACATTATGTGCCAAGATGTGCACCTAGCTGGTAATTTCCAACTGTGTTATGTTGAGTGGAAAATGAGCAATGACAGATAGTTTTTGGTACTGTATGAGTGTGTTAGGCAATCAATAGCCAATTCCAACCTCTTGCATTGGCTGTCAGGTTGGATAGGATCAGCGCGTGCATTTACAACAGTGGTGACGTACTTCCTATTGTACTACCGTAATGTCACATTAGCTTCAGTGTTCATATCATTCTATACTGGAGTATTCTACGTACATGTATTTAGTAATGGAGTGGTTATTATAAATATACTTCACTCACCAATTCATTGCTCGCTATTAAGTCCAATTCCAGTATGATGAAGTCAAGAGGCGATTTATCCAGCCAAGTAGAGGAACTTGGGATACGAAATCCAAGAGAAATCATTAGGGTATTCTCAGTTCAGCCATTCACGAATGTAATTGTTATTCTTCAACGTAAACTGAGTAATATTTGACCTTGAACAGGATGAAAAGAAGTTCATGCTCGGGGCAGAGTCCGCCATTCGCTCCAGAAGGTTACTCACTACAGTCTTCTACGCCTAGGAAGTGGTGAACAAATATCTCCAGAGGTATTTAGGACCTTCTTTGAAGTCAGTTTAGTTCTGAACGAATGCATTGTAACTAATTACTTTGCTGCAGTTTGCATGCGCGATCCGGATTGATAATTCTCAGCGGTAAAAAAATTCAAATCTAGTTTTGTGCACTGGTTTCCGCGTTATGTGCACTCGTGGAATCTGCTCATGGCTTCAAAAAATGAGAATCCGTGAACAAGCGCAAAAAAATCAAGTGAAGAAGGCGAAAATGGCCGCTGCTGTCAGTGAGCAAAGTTGGATGTTTGGCGTCTTCTGTGACCTCCCTGGATCAGTTTCGAATTGTCCAACAAGTGGAAATCGCTTCAGGATACCATCCTGAAGCGGTGTGCTGAAGGACGATTTGTCCCTCTCTGGGTGCAACGGTCGATGCTAAAACAGCCGATTCTGAGATTTGGCTCACGGACTAGTAGGCACTACGCGAGGATGGAGTAATAAAGAAAAATAAAGAACGCCGCACGAGGATGGCCTTGTGAGCGTGATGAAATATTTCTAATAATCCACCACACAAAAAATACGTCTCTCAGCTCTTTCTATTTTTCCGCCATTGCCGTAGCCATGGCACAGAAACGATGAGGCTCCGTTTTCGCTGTTTACACGGTTGGAATCCGGAACAAAATAGTTGCGTTTCCAGATTCTTACACCTTGGTGAGCGTTTTCGTTTTGTTTCGTTTCGCGGTTGCGTTTCTTTCGTTTTCGTGTACTGTCGTGTAAACGGAAGGCCAAAACGCAAAAATATTCTTGCGTTTTCGCTGGCAGCGTTGTCGTGTAAACGCACCCTAACACTAGTAACCGTAATACTAGTAATACTAATGTCTGGTAGAAATACGAGATGTTTGTCGCGCTGGAAGCAGGGCGTCACTGTAATAATTATTATTAAAGTTGGTATCACAACTTGACGGGCGATTCGGGCTGCCGGAGCGCTATACGATAAGGGGTGATTTCTCAAAAAACACTGTGTATACATGTACATTGAGCAGGGAGTGGTGCATCCCGGCCAAAAACAAGCACCACCAATGATTGGCATTGGCAGCAATGACCATGGAACGGTCGAAGAAGCAAACGTGACACTGAGCATACGTCACGTGATAGGTGAAGTGATGCAATCAGGACTGGGACGGGTGAAGAAGAGGGAGTCGGAGGAACAATGTGATCATCATAATTTATTATTATTATGGTAAAAAAGGAGAAGGACAAACTGTTACGAGTTATGACTACTGCCAGTACGGTACATGTAACTGTCCACCAACGTAACCAGTCATGAACATGACAGTTGTACATGTACATGATACACTCAGCGAGTGCGACAAAATGGCACAAAATTGACAAGGGGTACTGAGACTCAAAGACCTGACATCTATCTCGTACAAGTAGCTCCAAAACTTCTCCGAGGCGCCTCAGTAAAACATTCTATTTTGCCGTGGGTCGTAGCTCGTGCTCTTCTTCGTCGCGCTTTCCTTCCCCTCTTGGACCTTTCCGAACCTGAGCCTTCCAAGCTGGAAGGTTGGTTTGCGCCTTGGAGAAGTGTTGGAGCTACAATGTAGGTACCATAATACGGAGCATCAGCAAATCGAATTTTCGATTTGATTATTCGAATGGCAAAAAGAAAATCAGAGAGAAAATTCGAATGAAAAAGAGGTTCAGCATGTAGCGCAGTCCAGTATTTTCGAATCGAGTTTTTTTTAGCTTGAGCAGTTGAGGACTGGGATTTTGAGATGTGCAATGAACGGAGTTGCTGTTGTTTCTCATTGCCTTTGGGGATGACGCGAAGCGGCGGATGCTTCATCCGATTCAGGCTATTGGCGATAGGATCTCTCTTGGAGACCCCTTGAATAGGCGGATCTCGGCCAAGCTCCTCCGCTATCCCTTGCATATCAGGAGACCCGCGGACGAATAGGTGAGGGTGGGCCCTACACTGCCTCAGCAGAATGAGATCCATGGTAAGGTCGACCCTCAAATATTTGGCACACTTTGAGTTGCCCTCTCCCTGCGGGGAACTCACCATAGACGCAGATGCCGAGACAACGCCAGCAGGGCTACTGCAGTACTGGGAGCAGGAGCCATACCGGGGCTGGTAGTTGGTGACAAAGCCATGATTCCAGGATACTTGAAATGAAACAAAATGCACACTTGATAAAACTTTTCACAGTTCGAGAGAGAGGAAAGCGTCAAGATTGACAAGAAGTCCGGACTAGTACTTTAGTAAGAACTAGTAGCTACATGCGCAAGAATGAGTACTCGTAGTGCGCCGTGTACTAGAGCACGCGCGGAGCATTCGAAAAGTATTCGAAAAGTATTTTCTGTTTGCGGGCATTTTTCAGTCGAACAAAGCCCTAGTTTCGACTGATTGAGTGCTTTTCGTGACGATTCTCGAATTTCATTCGAATATTCGATTTGCTGATGCTCCGTTTTAATTGGCTCAATAACTTCCATGAGCGACACTGACTCACGCTGCTATCTGGTGTTCAGGAGGTATTTGTCGCGCTGGAAACGGAGCGGCTCTGTAAGTTTGTATCCCGGTGATGTTTGTGCCTGGAGAGCACTATGTACATTGTACATGTACATATAAGTGGTGCTCTTCAGGCACAATCTTCCTCAGCCTACTCAAGCTCAACTGATGAGGGGTGAATTCCCCGAAACACTGTGTATTGAGCAGGGAGTGGTGCTTTCTTGTAGGTTTGCCGAGTGGAAGGTTCGATGGATTTCTCGTGTGCTATGGATGGCAGTCGTGAGTCAGTCAAGTGAGAATTCAAGTCGGCAGGAAAAGCGCGTACGCTCCCACGTAGGGAGCAACACACAATTCCCCGAGTATCGCACCAACCTCTTCCTCGCTATCCGAGTTCACATTATTATTGCCGTATTATAACATTTTGAATAGGGCAATCCCCACAGGCCTAGCGCCTTCTTACAGGGTACCTATGTGATAATTATGAACGATCATACCGCGGTACTTCAAAATACATTTCTTCAAATTCCATTCCAGGGCTAGGCTTTACCAATTTCTGACTTTGTTTTTGTTGCTGTTTACCCTGCACAGATCAAATCCAAGCTGACAATAATCAGAGAATAACTCCATGGAAAACTGAAGCGTTTAGACATTGCTATCCGGAACTTATAATGAAATTGACACCGGATACAATAAGAATCTACTGCTACAGCAAACTGCTAATATCCGACGTCCAATATGAAATACTCAAAGACATCAAAAGTCAGATTACTCACAACGAGGAGCTGTTGAGTATTTTGTCCAGTGGCAATGAGGCGTCCTTTATAAAGTTTATGAAAGTTATAAAAGAAAGGGAGCCCGTTTTCAATTTCGAGGACGTTCTCAAGACAATGGAGGATATTTTATTACGTGATAAGAAGCTTCTCAATGGTAAGAGCCTATCTCGGTGTGGAATTCATAAAATAACCGTCTCTACTGCAATTTATTTGCACAGGGAGTATTGTTAAGGGGATTCTGGCTGATTTTCGTAGAATAAAGAGATAGTATCTGCCCAGCGACCCTCCAGCCTTGTTCTGGTCGGTTATCAATCTGCTGTCAATCTGTGAACAGAACTGCTTCGGCCTTCATGGACTCATCCGTACAGAACAGGAACAACAGTTATCGTTTTAACAATGTATACATTCACATGTACACGTGTGTACATTCACAGCGTGTAGGAAGCTCGGATGCATGATGTGGCAACTTCCAAGTGTACATACATGTACATGTATTAATATGTCCCTGTTTTTTTTGTATGTGTGACCGTATATGCCGTGTTTCATGTAGGGGTGGCTGTAACCGAAGCTTATAACGATAAGCTCTCCTGGCAACTACGGGAGGTGGAGCGGGCAGCAGAGCGATGTAAAATCGTCTTCCCCCATGAGCTGTCGGAAAACCAAACAGCTCGGATAAGTACCAATTTGAATGAATGCAAACATAGCATCCAAAAGGCAGAAAATGCCATAAAAACTTTAAATGATGCTGTGCCTTTCCAGCACAATAACCTTCACGTATTAGAGCTTGACATTGATCAGCAATTAAAAATATTGCATGAGCATAAAACACAATTGGCGCTCTTAACAGAGAAATATAATTCTTTCTTGATCAAGGCTCCATACGCATCTGCGCTACCATCCTTGGATGGGATGACATCGAAGCAGAATGAAGGAACCACTGCAGGCCCCAACGATGGCTCAAGGTACAGCTGTGTGGACAGAATTAATATCTATGTGAAGGAATGAAGACAATGAATATGCGTCTGCGGTATGCCTTCGCGGCAGCGGTGCAAGGGCAGTGAAAGTGGCGAGTAGCGTTGAGTGATAAGAAGGTATATTTGACGTGCTAAAGTCACACCAGCTGTACATAAAGGTCATGCGGCTAAACTTTAGAACAAGTGTCAAGTTGAAGACTGGTCAGGTGGAAAAGCCCATTCAAAAAAGACACTGCAAAGCCTTACCAGATTCGTTCTAACGTTTTGGCACTTGGCCCGCACTAGGTCACACGTAGTAGGTGCATACATTGTAACCATGGCAATGATGCTATCAGGCCAGGAAAGAGCTGCTTATGCTATACAATCATGTAGGTTATGCCTAAAATATCTGTAATTTCTCGCCTCAAAGTCAGGCTCCAGTCTAACTTCCAAATGAGTTATACAAAGACTGACAGCTTATGTTGCCAATACCACCTATTGACGGCAAATCTATGCACTGGAAAATGCATCAGCAAAGGCGTGGATGATAATTATTGCAAATGAAAACGAGAGGTGTCACTGTATGAGTAGGTGATGGTGCAACGGTTGTGCAATCATAAAATCGGGATTCATGATGTTATCGTTCTGGAATTTGAAATACGGACTGTTTGTCGTGATAAACCTAATTATTGACTTAGTGGTCAGTATGAAATAAAAAAACCTCATAAAAGACCTCGGCTTCGCCTCGGTCTTTTACTCGGCTTTTATTTCCTATATTGATCTCGTTCTCAGTCAATATTTGTAATTATTATTAGGTACTTATTGTTGTGTTTTGTTTGAATTTGTTGTCTTCAGGGAATTACCATCTTGGCGGGGCCAGCACAATGCACAGCCGCTCACTCAGCCAGACATTTCTCCCACTATTTATCTAAAATATGCTGCTTTCTTGATTGCCTTTTCGGCCGTTTTTACCTTTTCTGTGGTGGGAGCTTTCCATGCAGGGGTTATAATAACCGGTTTTTCCTCCAGGTGCACGCCGCCGTCAGGGTGTGGAGGTTTTTCCCGTCAGCTACCAGGCTGTAAATTATCTGACGGCCCCGAGCCATGGCCACTTTCTGTTGGCTCATATAATGCAACTCATTTCTTCTTCCTTTATGATTTGCATCGTGCGTTGCCGCGCTCTGGGAGTGAACTCAATAAGAACATCGCGGTTATTATAAACCCTTACTAGCATGTTCATGCACTAAGAGCCCTGTTATTTGCACGCAGCCATCATGCAATTGTATCAATACAATCATGATCTTCTATGGCATCTACCATGTACACGTACAATGCCATGTATCTATCACTGCCAATACGGTTTGCACCAGAAATCCATTGTTGCATTTTGGGAGATTGCCGGGGAGAGGAGTCCGGGGCGAAAAGCCCAGGGGTGGAGTCGGAGGGGGGGGGGGGGGCGTGTGTCTTCAGGAATTTCTTTAATAATTTATTAAAATGAAACTTACTCGTACGGCATGAAATCCGGACTCCCGCTAGCCATTGGCGGACTATGCTCGGCCAATCGTCAAATTATGCTTTTGATTATGCCACAATTATGCCAACAAATATGCTGAATTGTGCTGAATTATGCTCGGTTCCACTATGTATTCACGCTGTACATAGAGGATTGAGAAACCACGCGTACACACACGGCCATGCCCTAAGCATAATTTTTGTCTAAACCGAAAGATTATGCCGACCTTACACGTTGGAAGCCGTATATTATGCCGGAGCATAATGTTTCCCCAAATATTATGCCGGCATAATCCTCCAAGGGCTATGACAAGGAGTCGTAACTAGGGTATTAAAAAAAAAAAAACATCTGCAGGCTTTCTGACAAAGCTGTATTATGCCCCAAAGCATATTTTTTGTCTAAACCGAAAGATTATGCCGACCTTACACGTTGGAATCCGTATATTATGCCGGAGCATAATTTTTTGACGAAATCCCAAGATTATGCCAAATATTATGCCGGCATAATCCGCCAAGGGCTAACTCCCACTCTTGCTGCAAACCAGGTACAATGTAAAGCTTAGTACTTAAGCCTAGCCTTGTTGTACATGTTGATTTTGGTTGACAGCATGTTACAAATAGCATACATGGACATGTACATGTATGTAAAATATTCGACTTGGAGACAACAATTTTAATATTGCAATAAAAAAAACGAGCTGACATTTGGATTACTTTATAAAACAATGTGTAGTGATGGAGATGATGCGAAAAACGATCTAAAAGGTAAGGAGAAATACATACATGTATAAGGAGAAAAAGCGATGGAAAAAGATGACTCGAACATGTTTTCGTACAACACTCTTCATGAATTACCGTTGTACTAAAGAACAAAATTAATAAGAAAAAAGGAAATAATAACAAGAGTACATAACCCCTGTACTCTTGATAATAATTATAGCAATCAAGTTAAAGTAGCAAGGTACAGTGAAAGCACTAAAAAAATAATATCAAAGTGTGATACTTAGGCTCCGGCGGATTATGTTCGCGAAATCATGGAATTGTGCTTACATGGATTCTCACATTATGCTCACAAAATCCTCATGCTGTGGCACGCGGGGATACATATTCACTTTGTTGTACTTATGGAGCCCCAAAGTTCGGAAAATTGTGCGTTTTTCGTACTTGCAAGTGGCCATAAGTACAACAAAATACATGAGTATCCCATTACAAAAAGAATAGAATGGGATACGGAGCTTGGGTTGGCTGTGACTCAGAGTTTCACGCCTGTGGCGATAATCAGACGGCAATGATTACAAAAACTCAATGAATGTTCTTGATATAGTGTGGTAAGGTGCTAATGGAATCAGAGAATTTAAGCGCAAATAAGGTCAAGCGGTGATCTATGCATGCACTTGCAAGATCAGCGCCAGATACCAGGTGTAATCCTGGTTTATGTAACTGGAGGTGTGAAGTTAGATAGGTAGAATTTGTTCTCATGTCTGCACTTGGCCACTAGCTCCGATCGCTTGTTGATGTTCACCCTTCTGTCAGCATTTTTTATTTTATTTTTTTAATTGAAAAACCACAAACCTTCTGACATGTGAATGTGCACATGACATACAGTGTACACACGTATGTATCGAGAAGGCAGCACAGAAACGGCAGTGGTGGTGAGGCCTGGGCAGCTTGTCCGACCTTGGGTCTCGGAGTCAACACTGGGCAGACGCACCGGGGGGGGGGGGGGGGGGGGGGGGATGGTAGCTTAGGAGATAAGGGATGGAGCCAGCATGATCATAGTATGTAATGCGTATTGTTGTGAAACCACAAGTTCTCGAGAGTGAAAGGCCTTCTCGCTTGTGACATTGTGTTCGTTCCAATGCAGTTGTATCCCGACTCCGCCGTACCGCTGATGTTTACGACGTAGTATACGCTACATGCGCTATGTGCGGTTTGCTGTGTGCGCTGTAGTTGTATGTTGTATGTGTATGCTTTTCTCATATACGCTGTCATTTTCACGCTATAACTACCTGGTGGTTTTAGTGTTTTTTCATTCATTCATTTGTTCATTATTATTAGTCGATGGAAGTGAAATACACTGTTGAGCATAAATAGTTGTCCTCGTGCCGTGTGGGGTCGTTCGTTCTTGACACTTTAGAGAACCAGAGGGTTCACAACACAAATGCAGAAGTAATAATTATGTTAATCTTAAAAACAATAGTGTGGTCGAAATGCGCAGAGGAAAGGCATCATGGACATGATCTACGTGTATAACATAATAACAATAAGTGAGCTAGGGCACATCATACACACACATATGCGCATGTTCAAATAGGAGATCAACCTGATAGGCGTTCACCGGCGTAGGGTAATCTTGAAATAAAGATATTACTATTATTGAAGAGATTATTATCATACGCTCACATAAACACCACATACCAACCATGTGCACCCTCCCACCCACACACACACACACCCACACACCCACCCACACACACCCACACACACACACACACACACACACACACACACACACACACACACGCGCACACACACACACATGCTCGCACGCACGCACACCCACCCACACATACACACCACACCCACACACCCACACCCACACACGCACGCATGCACGCACGCACGCACGCACACACACACATGTGCACATTCACACAGACGCGTAGTCATACATAATATTCGTGCACAGACTCACTCTCTTACAGTAACGTCCAGAAAACCACCACGCCGAGTCCCTACAGCCGGTCGGTCGCGCAGTTCCAGTGGCTCGAGCGCAGGAATAGGTGGACGCTGCACTTGAAGGACTGCAACCTCTGCAAGATCTCCAGCTTCTCACGCAGACAGAGAGGGCAGCGCTTGGTGGCATTGGAGTATGCTGGTGCTTGGGCGACAACCGACCAACTGATGCTGTACCCGGCATTCTTGCGCTTCATGAGTGTCCCATTACCAAGGTGTCCATGCATGCTAGAGATCAACATGGAAAAGAGAAAACATTACGTCTTCTATTCTGAGTATTCATTAGTTTGACTTACTTGTAAAACGAATTTCATTGCCACTTTACTGTAATAGGAAGTTAGAGGCCACATGCCTCGTACTGCTCTTTTCTCTCCGAAACTCAACACTTGCAAGCCAGATACGAAAGAAAGAAAAAATCAGCCGTGTGACTGGTGATTTTTTCTTTCTTTCGCATCTGGGTTGCAAGTGTTGAGTTTCGGAGAGAAAAGAGTAGTACGAGGCATGTGGCCTCTAATTTCCTAATACTTTGAAATTCTCCGTGAAGTCCAAAATATGAAATTGAAATTGCTAGTATAGTTTGAATTACCTCTGAAAATTATCACGTTCAACTGTCTTCGTAATGGTCATACTCGTCCAACCGATGTCAACCTCACCCTGCGAATGAGCTCATCTCTGCCTCCCGTTCATTTCTGTGCTCCTGTCTTTATTCTCGTCAGCTGTGTACTTCAGCAGTTCAATTCTGTGCTCCGATCCTCTTTATTCTCGTGAGTTGTGTACTTGTTTTGCTCTTTGTTTGGTTTGTTGGAATTCGAACAGTAAACGTGTACGTCAGCTATTCTCTCTTCCCTCTTCTGAGTTTGACCCTCCGCTGGCCTTCTCTCCTCCCATCCCCTTACATTTCATTGGGCCTCCGCAGCCCCCACCACCACCACCCCACGCACACACTACATTGTCACATAGCATAACTCAACCATTCGCTACCCTGTTATTGAGCACTCCTGCTCGTTTGGTCTCGCGAATCCAAATAAATCAATCAATCTCTCCCGTACCTCCACCTCTCCTTCCACCATGCCATGATTGAACATCAGCTATACCTCAATTCTTTAAAAGTATTAGAGCAATATCCATAGCCTGCACAGTCATTGCTGCTAAAATCCAGAGGTCATGACTTCGTATCATGCATATTCATGTACGCAGAGTTTTGCGGACTAGTACCATCACCATCTCGTCCGCCCCGGGATACCTGATAAAGGCTGACTCGCATCTTCTGCTACATGACTGTACTGTATCAGTCTGAGAAAGAGTTACTTTGAAGAAGACGAGTTCGAGCATACAATAATGTATTGCCAGGATTAGGCTACCCTGCTTTTCATTGAAAACACTACCTGCATGACCTCCAAACCCTTTACCATGCAGACCACCAGAGCTGATTAGGTGCATTGTACACAATATTGTAGCCTACATACTAGAACTGTGGTACAATCATGTAGTTATGCTCCTACCTCCGAAAGGATGCAAATTATGGTCCAAATTTTCAACCACCAAGTTATGCCAATAATTATGTCGGCATAATCCGCTGGTACCTAGTGATACTTCTCACAAAGGTGTGTACAAAACACCTCGCTTTTTCTCCTTACATGTATACATCCAATACACGACACCACCACATTGCGCTCTTGGCCGATCCAAACTCTGCACTCACATCACCATCACCACAGCGAGGACAATTCCGGTATATAGATTGATATTGACAATGACCCTCCAGACAGCTGTTTCGCTCCTCCTGAGCTCATCAGTGGAGGCATATGATGTTGAATGAAAGAATAATAAGAATAAACTGATTTTTATAGGGCTAAATTGGCGCAATTGCGCTCATTCTGCATAGAAACGTGGCATACCCTAAGTTACAAAAGTGATAACAAGGTCAGGTGATAACGACACGCGCTCATGGCTGGGACAGTCTATTCTTATTATTCTGTCATTCAACATCATATGCCTCCACTGATGAGCTCAGGAGGAGCGAAACAGCTGTCTGGAGGGTCATTGTCAATATCAATCTATATACCGGAATTGTCCTCGCTGTGGTGATGGTGATGTGAGTGCAGAGTTTGGAGCGGCAAAGTGC